ATAGCTTCTACATTTTTTATTCCTCTTGGGTGTTATGTATTTCTTTTCCATATTTAATCTTTTATTGCCTAGTTCTTTGCTACCTTTTTGCTGAATATATGATCATTTCTTTTCTTCTTCTTTGTGCCTTGGTGCTTTACACTTGTCTGATCGCATTCTACGAGTATTTTATTTTATTTTATTTTGTGGTAGCCACCGCTATTTTTTTAGATGTAGTGACTTTTATAATATTTTCTCCTATTTCTCTATATGCACATATCCATTTGTTGGGGCCATTTTATTGTGGTTTTCATAATTGTTATTGTTGTTATTGTCATACGTAGTAGGTTTTACTGACCCATTCCACACTCGCCAATACCATTGGGCAGCTAATTAAGGTCGTCACATCACAGCACACTTAGAAAGAGGCTAAGCAGATTGGCCCGCTTGTTGCGTTCGTTTACTGACTCTGAGGCAGAGTGATATCCGACTATGTGCTTCTAAAACTCGTTAATTATTGGTGAAAATTCTAATCAGGCCATTCATATATTAATAAAAGCATAAGTACGTACATATGTGTGTAGTTACATAAACCTTCTTCGACTATGCTTTATTTAAAAAAAAAAAATTATTTTTAATAACGACTTTAAATAAACGGAAGCACATTCTCCTACGTAAATACATATGTACATAAAATAGTCGGAATGTGTTATATATTTAATTTATTAACGAAGTTCTTAGACATGATATGCCATTTCACAGCTAACATTTAGTCAGTTCCCGTACCCGTCAATACCCTTAATAACAGAAATCATACAAATCCAGGTTTAAAACTTTGTTCAAAATTTAAACAAAGTCCCCATACTTCCATCAAAATTTCACTCTTCCTACTCAGAATTTTTAGAAAATATTGGGGTAGGGTTTTTGCAAATTTGATTTTTTACCTTGACGGTGTTCCATATAAAAGAAAAAAATGCGATAATTTTTTAATTCGATTTGATGGAAATTTTATGAATTCATTTTAAGTTTTGCAGTTTTGAGACTTCGTTATATAGAGGCTTTTGCTAGCGGGACTTTAACCGTAAACATGTATATGTATTCGATATACATATCTATGGAGTATTTTTGTGTCGAAAATTTCGCAAAAACGAGGTTTTTTTTCAGGAGACTCAGTTAACATTTTGTTGTATTGAGTTATCAAGGTATCACTGCATTTACATACATAATTTCACATTTTTATATTAGCTTCGAAATAGTCAATTGAGGACACTATGTACTGTCTCTTCATCTATTATCAAGCCTCTGCTTGATTTCATTAATGGTCGAAATTTTCTCTTAAGTCGCTCGCCTTTCTCCAGGTTATAGAAAATTGCCTCTCTGGCGACATTCATAGAATTTCTCGGCTAAGAAGTTGTCGGCAAAAATATCACCAACATTGTCAGCTTGGAGACCAGGCAATCTGCTGCTACTTTTACATAAATCAAGTAGAAGCCTGGATGCGTTTGATCTGTTCCCATGACAAAAGGGGATACGTAACCGGAAAGACCCAGATTTATATCTGTCCAAGGACTGTCACTCCAGCAATACTCCCAAAAACTCTTGGGAGGATTTGTATGCTGTTACAACAAAAAGTTTTTGATCAAATATGAGGGGACTGGGGCATTAGAAAGAAAGATTCGTGAACTGTACGCATACATATGTAGGTACGGTGACCAGATTTCTGTGGACCAAAATTGGGACACTTCTACAGCATCGAATCCGAACATACAATTTGGTTTTTAAAATAAAAAGACATAACATCTTTTAATATAGTTTTATTTAAGATAAAACAAGGGGAAAAAAACTTGAAAAATGCTTTCAAAAATGTATCCACACAATAAAGATATTTTGGCAAGTTTTAGCTACTTTTCTATGTTTAAAAAATGTTTTATGACCTTTTTATTAAAATATAGCTTACAAATATCTACAAAAAAAAACTGTAAATCAAGATTTTAAACTTTGTAGAACATGTACAAAAATTCTACGAACAAATGTTAATCAAAATCTTAAACTTTGTAATCAGATTTTTTTTTATTTTTTTGTGCATGCAATTTTGTAGCCCATTAAATTTTAGTATAACATTGTGCAATTTCAAGTAGTTTGGAAATACCGTTGATTTTTGGCAAGTGTTTGTTCGCGCATTTTCTTCCATAAAAAGTATGTACGACATTTTTTTTTATGGGGAAAATGGACAACACCTTCCTGGAAGGTCCTTCCACAAAAAATTTACCAAATTTACACTTCTTTTTAATAGAATTGAGTTGGCTACAAAACTGCATACTCAGAAAGTTTCTAAATAAAAATCTCAAAACTTTCCTTTAACTTGTCGACTTTTGCTAATTTCTGTACAAAGTTTGATTTAAATGGTTTTTATTATATAACGACACTTTCATAAAAAATAATAAACATTAAATAATTAACAAATTATGACAGCAATAAAGCGAGAGTACCAGTTTGACAGAATAAAGTTCATAAAAAATAAGGATGCTGGCTATGTTTGTGGCTGCCCTATATTCTATGTTCTTTGTGAAAGAAAGTGCTACCACGTTATTAAAAAAAATTGTTTTTGGGCCATAGTACAGGAAGACTCTTGTTAAATTAACAAATAAAACACTGAAAATCGGGACTTAATCGGTACAAATATAAATAATCGGGACACTTAATATTCAGCGGGAATGGTCACCGTACGCATAGGTGAATCACTCCAAAGAAGATGTAATAGAGAGTCATATGCCTCTTTTAATGTCATCGAATGTTTTAAAAATCAAGTCATACGTTCACATGGACTATCCATGGGTTGACAAGGAAAGTCGATACGTGTAAATACAATAGAAGAACCGAGTTCCGAACGGACTAACTGTATTTGAATCAAAATTGTTGGCGAAACTTCGCACAGAAGAAGGTAACTGAAAAAGTTTACTGCTCTTAATCACATATTAAAATAAGAAAAAGAACAAGCTTGTATTTTTTGTTGTTCTAATCCATTCTTTTCGCTTGGTTGCTTCCTCTGCCCACGGTACTCAATGAATTATTTCTCTAAGCTAAGTTTGGTTGCTACTCATTTGGCAGTAGATCGGTTGCTTTGTTGGCTTTTCACCATACACCAAAAATTTGCAGATCCCAAGAAAATTATCTGCCTTTATTACACGCGTTGTTGCTTTAGCTGTTATTATACAAACATACATACATACATATGTACATATAACTTGACTTTAACTGCAGTACCATGGTACGATTTCATTAGCGCAAACGACGACGACGGACTGCTGCTGCTAATGCCCCCACACGGCAACCAGCCAACCATTCAGCCAACTCACAACCACCGACAAATACTCGTTGTACATAGCTGCCATGGCGGTATGGCTTAGGCCAGCCAGCGCACCTGTTCTTAATCGTTCCTCGATGACGCTACAAGGCTGCAGCTTATAATGAACAACAAAGTATTTTAATAATTTTTTCATTATAGAAGCTATTGAGAGTTGCAGATTATGGCCGGCTGTTGCATGCAATGCAATATTTGATTACAGTTGATTACTATGGCCGCCGCCGCCTTTCCTAAAAGTAAACTACTTGCAACCAGAGCTGGTATTATTAGCCATTGTCTGTTCAGCACCAACTTGTCAACCCACCTATCCACATTTCTCTGCTTTAAATCAACTAGTATGTATGTACATATGTATGAAGAAATGCCTCGAGGATATAAAGTTAATTCGAATTAATGTGAGTGTATATGCGTGCACGTAATATGTCGACGCTCGCTGCAAAAATTTGCGGACCAGGTTGCATACTAGTAACTTGTTATGCTAACCTGGACCACTTCAAACGTAAAACGCTGATATATGTATGTGTTGAACACCACCTCCCCGGTGCCCATCGGCAATATGATTCGGTTGCCGAAAGTGCCATGGTCCAAAAGGAGTAGTTGTCTAGGTGGGCCCCCATGTTATGTTATGCGCGTTGGACCAGAGGTGGTTAGGTCCAATGACATCGCAATGTTAATGTAACCATATTTTCTCTATATATATGTAATTGGACCATTTTGGTTACTGGTGTTGGTTACAAGGTAGCGTGGTCCTGTACTAGTATTTAACCTAGTACCACTTTTTGCAGAGTTTCTACATCAATATGAATGTATGTATGTGTGTTAAGAGATGCTAGTAAGAAATTGAAATAGACACCAGTAACTGTACATAGTTTACCACAGTTTTCTTTAATTATTTGCAATGAGCAACGGCTTCAGGCAACGGCAAAGCTTTAAATATGTAAGTATGTATGTATGTATAAGGCAAATTGCTGCCTTTGTGGCTTTTGCCTCTCAGCGCCACCATTTGCTAATTTAACTTTTTTTTTAAATAAGTTCTATATCTTGATTCTTGAAACTTCTCAATTGCGAGGGTTCAGCGGAAATGTAAGAAAGTAGATAGGTGTTTAATATTTAGCTATTGCTTTTGAATTATGCAGATTTATATAATTTTTGTTATTAAATGCTGCTTAAATAACTATAAATCCACTACAGGAATTTTTTTTCTGCAGCTTTGCTGTCGGTACTGTGGTACTTTAACACAACTACATAAAATGTCTACGATTTGTTGTTGTTGCTGGCTGTTGCACTATGTCATGAAATCAATTTCGTTGCATTCTCACATTTTTTAGGTTTCTTCGCTATTATTTCTTTATTTTTCTACATCCATCTTATTGTTTTTTTTTTATAAATTAAAGTTGTTTTGCAATTGACTTTAGCACAGTGAAAGTCTCATCATACATACATACATATATGTATATGTATGGATATGTACTTGTACACTTATCACTTCACTTCATATTTTCTTCTCTTGTTTTTCCTATGGATAAACTAGGCAAAACATGTTTATATGCATAGCACTTTATCTTTGTACTTTGCACATATGAATGTATGTATGTATGTATGTATGCATGTGGGCATCCGTTTTCCAGTTGCACTTGCGGTAGCATTAAAATCTTACTTGCAGGCTAAAAACATGCGCTTACACTCGAAGATTGGTTGCGACTGCGCTTGGCCGATTTTCAAAGCGATCGCCTCGGTATTTGGCCACAAAGCATTCTGCTGTTTCTCACCAAACTTGGCTTAAAAGAGACCAGTGTTGTCTCTTTTTAAGTTTAAGCCATTACCTATTCCGCCATTTAGGCGCGGCTATAATCAAATGAAGTTACATATGCCGGTACATATAACATTTATTTATTTATAGAGTGATGTTTTTATTGTATTTTTAATTAATAGATATTAATTGCAGATATAAAGTTGCATATACAAAACCTTTCCACAATTGTCAACCGGATATACATAAATAGCAGTGGTTCCGGAAATGTATCACAACTTCCAATGGAACAAATCACCTTTTCTAGTATTACTTTTTGTTGTCATTCCAATGAACACTTTAAATCTGCGCTGTATGTAACATTTCATTTTTCTTTTGAAATTAACTTAATCCAATCCTTAACGAAAACCTAAACTTTTATTAATTCGCGTTGTCGATTATCGATAAATGGCATTTCCATCTATTTGCGTCATTAGGCTCTTAAACAGTTTGATAATTTGGAGACTTGGTGATTATATGTACATTAGGGTGGTCCAAAAATGCATGTGAAAAAGTAAACCCGGAATTTCTATGATCTCACCCCCTGGGATTGTTCTATACCGAAAAAAACTATACCCCTATTTTTTTGTTTTGATATCAAAAAATGTTTAGAGGTCGCTCAAAGTTTTCCACGTATTTTATATGGGCAAAAATCAACTTTTCGTAGAAATGGTATAGAATTCTTGAAAATCAATATTTTTTGATCGGAAAACTTTGTTTATCTTCAGGAGATTCCCAGTAATAAAACGCAATTGATTTAATCTTTTCTTATAGTAGCTATATTTTATAGGTCCGCAAACAACCGCCAAAACCCCAACAAATGCGATTGGGGGATCAATAAAACATTTTTAGTTTTAAAAACTGGTTTAATAAATAATTGAGTATTATTAATGGAAGTCTTCTGAAGAGAGCCAGAGGATTATTGTCCGTTTACCGATTCCATTTTCGGATACTTTGACGATCCGTTTACCCGCTAAAGTGTGCGTCAGAAACGTATGTACAGACAAGTGCCGAAAAGAGCGGAGACTTTTTGGCTGCTTCTTTCCACGCTCAGCCATTGCCGACTAGGAATATGCATGATTCAATTTCAGTGTTGCCATTTTAGCCGTTTTCCGGCTAGATTAAGGGCCGGTTGTTCAATGTCTGATTAGCACAAATCGGAGGTGGAAGCTCCGGTTAAATACAACGACTGCCTTATCGATCACATGTTATATGCGTGATGTCGAAAACGTCGATAATGATATTTAACCGGCAAGTATCGATAACCAGACATTGAACAACCGGCCCTTAGCCGGCAACCGATTTGTTAGCCGTTTTGCAGAAAAAAATTAGCCGTTTTTAGCCGATTTTGCTATCATTAAGAGCCGGTTACTCAATGTCTGGTTAACACTAATCTGTGGTTAAACAGCGTTATCGACGTCTTCGACTCCATGCATACAACAGGGAGTCTGTAACGTCGACAACTATGTTTAACCGCAGATTAGTGTTAAACCAGACGTTGAGTAATCGGCCCTAAATAAACTAAAGATAAATAGCCAAAACTGATCAATCCTATTATTTTGTGGACAACTGCATGTAGTTTTTAATTAAGTTACGGTTTTACATATCATTGGGATTACATGCGTGACTAATTGCACTATTCTATAGCTATAATTTTAATACCGCTGCTTGAACATACCCCAGGGAGAAAACGTCAAACTGGCACTTCTTTGTGTGTTTGTGTAATTGAACGAAAAACAGAAAGGAGGCTGAAATCGCGAATTTTAATTTATAGAAAGCTAATAAAAAAAAAAATACACAAAACCATGCCTGAATCGGAAGTTACTAAAATGAAGGTGAGATTCGCTGAATCTAAATCATTAATAGATATCAGAAAAACTATTTATATTTGCCAGGTGGCCGATTTGAAACGTGAGCTTAAAGTGCGTGGCCTTGCTACCACTGGCAACAAAACGGAACTTCAAGACCGCCTGCAGACGGCACTAATTGATGGCGACATTTCATTGGAAGATTCAGCTATCACCAATGAAGATGCTCTGCTTGACGAAGATGCCGTGCTGACCGATGAGGAAGAGTCGCCAATAGCTGCAGATGAAAATGAGTTACTCAAGAGTCCAACCAGTACACCAACGGCTTCCGAATTAGCTTCACCTCTAAACGAAAACAAGCCTTCCGTTGATACCACTAACGCTAAAAAGATTATATTAAAGCGCAAAGCAAGTGACGGCGAAAACACTCTGGGCGTTACAGAAAGCACTAACGCTTCAGGCACATCGAAGGAGAATACAGAGCCACCAAAGGATAAAGTTTTAAAAATGAGCGAACGTAATCCTATTACCGTCAGTGATCTCAAGACGAAAGAAACCTCAAATGCTAAAACAAATAGTGGTACAACAAGCGTCGGTGATTCTGCCGGTGGTAAAAAAGTAGTACAGTTAAGTCAAATGGAGCGACTTGAGCTTCGTGCCAAAAAATTCGGCTTGGGATCAAATTCCAGCACTGATCCAACTAAAACTACAATTAAACCGACCAGCAATGCGAAAGTAATAACTGGCATCAGTGGACCACCTATTGTTAACGATGCCAAGCAAATTGAAATGCTTAAAAAACGAGCTGAACGCTTTGGCTGTGTCGTATCCTCGAAAATGGCTCAAATCGATGCGGCGGAGAAGTTGCAGAAACGAAAAGAACGTTTTGGAGCGGCAAACTCGGCAGGATCATCTGCTACCGTTGGACTGGCAAAAACCAATGACTTATGGGCGGAAAAGGCTCGCGCCCGTTTGGAACGTTTTAAGAATACATCAACAGCACCAGCAACTGAGAAAAAAGCGAGTAGTGTAAATACGGAAAATGATGAGGCGAAGAACGAACCAGCAGCAATAGTCACCCCATCCGCAACGCCGACCACAGTCTCAAGCAATTAGGACCAGCCATTCAACCGATAGCATAACACTAACTTCAAGTGAATATGCGTATTTTATTTGAAATACAAATGTATCGTTTTAAGAACATGTCTTTCTTATTAATCACCAAATAAAAATTCCAATTAACATATTAATGTTTTATTTGAGATTCAAATATCTGTAGCATTTCTTAAAAATGAACTTCCATCACCAAACTAAAAAAATGGTCACATTTTTTCTAATTTGGGCAATTTATGATTGCGATTACGTTTTAATTACGATTGCTTAACTTTAATCCTCAAATTACGATTATTTTAATTGTAATCATAAATGTTACCACTACGATATAATTGTAATCTAAAAAATGTAAGGACTAAGATTACTGTAATCCTAAAAATTTTAAGATTACAATTACAGTAATTGTAATCATGAAAATTACGATTACGAACACTTTAATTGGTATCCTAAAAATATTATGATTATTACAATTAATGTAGGGCTTGTTCGAGTTGCAATCACAACCGCAGTGTTGCGCGAATTATTTATTAGTAAAGTAAATGAGCGGAACTTTCACCGCAAATTTTTCACAATATATGCAACAATTTTTATTCTAATATTTTTCCGCCAATTTGTATAAAAATTTGGTTCATTCTACAACAAAAAACATAAAAATATAATTCCTAAACTTTGTGCAAAACTCGCGAAAATTCAGTAAATTTTCATGAAAAATTTCAACTCCTCAATCAGTTTTTTGTTGAATTTCGCGTATGCAGTTTTACAGCCCATTAAATTCTAGTAAAAAAATGCAAGTTTGATTTTTGAGAATTTTTTTTGTTGAAAGTGTTTTGAATTTTTTCCATATAATGTATTTTCGAAAAAAAAAATTATGGAAGACCGCCAAAAATCAACCGTAATTCCTAGCTTCTTAAAAAATTTGCACTTTATTATAATAAAATTGATTGGGCTACAAATCGGCGTACTCAAAAAAAATCTGATTAAAAAGTTTCAAAATTTTGCAGAAAATTTATTGAATTTTCGCGAGTTTTGATGTAGAATATTTTTATACAAAATTGGCGAAAAAATATTAGAATAAAAATTGTTGCAATATTGTGAAAAATTAGCTGTGCCAATACTTTGTCCAGGCAGTGTATATAGAATTTATTTAAAGTCGAAGTAATACAGTTAATCAAAATCAGGACTTTATTGGAAATGCTGCGACCACGAGTCTGTGTAAAACATTACAATTCCAAACAAATAAGCGAATTCATAACTTAAAACCATTTTGATGTATAAAAATTCGTATTTGCTTTAAGCAAAAATAATTTCTCGATTACTGTAATCGTAATCATGAATTTGCATCGCGATAATTTTTAACAATAACAATTACGGTAAGTGTAATCTTAAAATTCTTAGGATTACAGTAGTCGTTCACACTCATTGAACGAGAAAACGACTTTGAAAATACCACGGATAATCGACTAACAATGGTTTATATCTACCATTAGTCGACACTCGTAATAGGGGTGTGGATGTATCCACGTTATTTGATGCAATAGATCAGCTGTTTAGAAACAAACACAGGGCTACTATTTTTAAGATTTATTCATCGTCATACATACAATTTTTCATGTTTTCCCGTTTAAACGACAATGGAAGTAAGCTATCGGTATATGAACGAGCAGAACTGAGCCCGCATTACCACGTTTTTTGTTGGCTCTACAATGTTCACAACTTCGTCAATAATGTCAAAGGTTTTATTTTATTAAAAAAATATATATAAATAATACATGTAGTCCCACATGCTTGTTAACATAATAAAAAAAATATGTACGTAAGCATATGTTGTGTAATTTTTAGTGTTTTCAAAAATGAAATCTACACGATATTGTTTATTGTAAGTTTCCTTAGATGCATTAAGAAATTATAAGTTGCTCCCAAATTTAAAAGTATGTAACTTTAATCGTTCTTCCATCCATACGAGAACCATCCATCAAAGCTGAAATGAAAAAAAGATACCACATGTAAATTTGTCGCAGCAGGAGCGATTTCATTTAGCTTATTTACCAATAGCCAACTCAGCATCGCGCTCTTTAAAGAAACGTACAACTCCCAAATCATTTCCACGAATTTCGGCGAATTTTACTTCACCTACATCACGAAACTTGTCACGCAAAGTTTGCCAGGTGCAGCTTAGTGGTACCTTAATTTAAAATAAATGTCAAAACATAGTAAGCAATATCAAAGCAATAAAAAATTACTACTCTTACATTCTTTATTATAATTGTGTCTGACTTCCGTGGATTGTTTCCAGCATTGCCTGCATTACCACCGCCGCTGCCGCCTCCGCCATACATGTCCATGTTGCCACCACCGCTGTAGTCGTTGTCCATGCCACCTCCAACACCACCAGTGTTACCACTTCCCGTGTTATATGCGTTGAAACCAACGCCGCCACCTCCACCAGTATTTCCGGCATTGCCCGAGTTAAAACCAGAAGATCCACCAAAACCGGAGCTGTAGTTGTTGCCTACAGTACTGTAGTTGTTGGATAACGCTGCGTTGGCTGACGACATGGAATCATCATTGCCACCACCCGATTGCCCCAAATTCAAACCGAGATTAGTCAAAGACGACGTAAGCAGTGGATTGGAAAGTGCAGCTCCGAGACCGCCAACCACGTTCGATAAAGCCGCCAAATTGGTTGTTGATAGATTACTTAAATTGAGGCCAGCTGTATTTGTACCCAGTGACTTGGCAGCCGCCTGTACGACTGGCGCAACAGGAGATGGTTGTACAGATTGATTGTTGAACATGCCGCTACTACCAACACCACCAGCCACACCACCACCCAAGGAGGCCACCATATTTCCGAGAATATTTGAGCCACCACCACCTTGCGACGACATCGACGGCTGTGTTGGTTGATTTTGCTGTTGCTGAATAATGTTTGGCAAGTTGCGAGCAACATCCTTCAATGGTTCGCCGTTCGGACCAAGTCCAATGCCAACGCCACCCAAGCCTTCGGGTAGTTTCAATCCTTCACCCTTGTCCGGAATTCGATCTAAACGTACAGTCATACGACGATCGTAGAGCATCTGACGATCGAGCATAGAAATAGCTTGAACAGCCTCTACCGGATGGTCGTATTCCACAACAGCGAAACCGCGACTGTTGCCCTCTTTATCAACGGATAGATCCACACTCTGTACTTTGCCAGCAAGTTTGAAAACTTGTTTGAGTTTCTTTGTATCGACCTTATAGTCCAGCTGTGGAAAAGTGGTTAATGGAATTTGTCAGAATATAAAATTGTGTGTGATAATAGACCATTAGACAGTAACGAAGTGAAAAGCCAGTGAGACGCAAGGGTTGAGTGCCAACATTAGAACGCCAAAACAATTCTTTCGGACATAATAAACAGGACATTTTATTGAGAAATATTTGAGACGTCATATAAATAGCTAGGAAAGTTTAAAACCCATATTGTTTCTAGCGATGCAGCGACTTTGCTTTCAAAAATAGTTTGAGAATTACAACATTTTAGGAAGAATATCGTAAACTCAATATATAATTATTTATCCGCCGAAAGGTTAATAGGCGCCATACACAGTGCGTCTGACTCCCCAGTCGGTTTGTATGTGTTAGAGAAAATAAATATGTGATACGTTACACCGACATGACTCTGGCATGACTCTCGAGTGCCTCAACTGTGTGTAGTCGAAATGAGAGTTAACACGTACACAAATGACTCACGAGTCAGATGCACCGTGTATGCCGCCTATAAGTAATGCAATTGTTATCCTAAAGCTAAATTGCACCACTTACCAAAAATGGAACGACGATGCCGCAAGTATAAGACAAAGAATACCGGTCTCGAAACAAGATAATCCGAAAAGTTTAGAATGGCGAAACAAAGGTTACTAGAGGACAAAGATGTCTGAATATAAGCACTAAAAGCCTTGTATGAGGCAAACTTAGGCGAATAACCCTAGTTATATAATTTTTTTTTTTAGAAAATGTTAGAGGAGTCAATAAGGAGAGATTGGCTTAGGCGCGAAATGGACAAAATTAAGCAAACAACGGATCTAAAACTGATCAAGTCCCAAGTTCATAATAACTTCGTCAACTTAAAACGTTTAGAATGTAACAAAATACGTAATCGCTAGAGCTTACGCACATTCCAAATAGTTTTATTTATCCTGTTATAATACCTATGGCACAATTTCGAAGACGACGGCAAATACTGGTGTACCTTCAACACGTCTACTGAACTTTTTACAAATCCCGGCGCTGAAAACTTACAACGCACGAAACCAAAACGTTTTTTAATTATTTTTTTTTTTTTTTTGATTACTTAAAAATTGTATACTCACATTAGCAACAAAAACCTTATTATGTAAAGGTCCACTTATGCCCAGACTCTCCAAAAACGAAGCAGAAAGCCCATACAAATTGTAATTCGATGAATTATTAAAATCATTGGACATCATGTTAAAATTATTACGCCCAGATCTAAAAGAAGAACACGTTATAGGAAGAAAAAGTCAACGGTAAGCACACATCATCCAGAAACAAAGCGAAGATCGACTGGGAAAAAAACTGTTAACAACTTTAGTAGCTGCGAAGTGTTGTTTATTGATAATCCGAATAGGGTAAAGTATAAATAGAGTACACACAACAAATATTTGCTTTCCCTAACTATGACAACTTTGAAAAGTACGAAGAAATCCTATTTTCTACGCTCAATTCTCATTGTGAAATATCTAATTCGAAAGATAGCATATCGCATGGATAATAATCAATCGAAATATTAAAGTATTGAATATATATAAACAATATTATTCAACAGGGTCACTCTTAAAAGTTTACTGCTAATAAAAGTAATGTACGAATTCCCATTGTAACCCAAATATTCCGCCATAAAAACCTGAACATACGTGTAAAAATCGTATACCAACCCTACACATATTTGAAAACACTTTCCAAGTAAAAATTTATCATATATGTAAATAAAGTAATTCCAATCCGAAAACGTAATACAAAACTGAGCCCCAAGGGATGGTTAAAAAACTAAAACGAAAATATCCTCAATGATTGTTCCAGGAATGTACAATTTAATTAATCATAGAAAAATTTAGATTTTTTAGACTTTAGATGATTTCAACAAAATTCCTCAAATGGGTGAGTATGCAATTTAGTGCCAAAACATATCGACTGGAGTACCGATTGAAATGCTTCGGACCTTATATTAAGAATCTGAAGCAGAATTTCGTCGCCTTTTTTAGATTATGCTGTCACCAACCAATCTACTTTAATGTTCTTTTATCCTCCTTTCCATTACTACCTATTCTCGTCCATTTATCTAATAGCGTTTCATCTTTTCCGAAGCTGTCTTTGAATTCTGTTCTATATTTTTCTAGTGCAAATCGGTAATTTCGTCAAATTGCAGGAAATGTTTCAACTATTCCCAATGTTTTACGTAACGGATGACTGACGAGCTGTTTGAAACTACATGTCGACGACTGAGTGGAAGATCGACCACCTTATCGGCCAGCCCGTTCGAAACCGGCCTATCTCAAAAAACTTTTCAAACTTTTTTTTTTCGTTTGTAATGTTTGTCATTTAATGTCTGGTGGAAATCGAGCATTACTTCAAAATTTGATTGGAGGATGCCGTATTTCAGAATTCGATAAAAAAAAACCCTAACTCAGAGTATGGTTAAAAACATTTTAACTGAAAATATAACGGCAGCTGAGATAGGGCTTTTAAGAGTAGGCTGCAGAGATGGCTCAATCTTCCACCAAGCCGTCGATATACAGGCAGGGTGTGCGATTCACACTCAAGTGAATTTCAACCCCATTAAATTTGAATGCAAAGCGACTGGGAAATTAACTCGGGAAGTGAATTAGGGAACCTGGCCGATATTTCCAAACCGAATAATAAATTAAACTTATTTCCCCAATAGAACTTCTGGCACAAAATTTACCATGAAATGTCTATTAAATATTTATGCAGGAATGATGCCGCTTCTAACTTCATCACCTGACCAATATACTCAAATATTTGTTTAAATATTGCGATATGTGAAGCCTATTGTTCTTTCACTACCTCGTAATACCTTGCTGCCTTTGTTTAACGTATTTCTTCCAGATGTAGTCAATGACCTGTAAAGTGCGTGACTAAACTTAAGAAAATATTGTCAAATTTACCCTATAACAACGAAACATCTGTGAGATAGATATTCAGCCCTATCACCAATTTGATGTGAATAAAAAGTTCCCATAATGTAACAGGAAAAACAAGAACAAATTAGGAAAAATTGTTTTTGTTTTGCTTTATAAATTTTGGCAATATTTGTTCATGTGAAATTTGTGATAGGGCCAATTATTTTTCAACACAATTTTCCTGAAACAAAAAACTTATATGCAAACCTTCCCCAGAAAAAGTCAATAAACCCATATTAGAATTGATAATATTTTTCAAGCTTAAATTGTAATACCTGTCATCATCGCGGCGAGAGAAGCCTCTGTCGCGGTCACCCATGTCTCCACCGCCACCACCGCCGCCGCCACCACCACCACCTCCTCGTGATGACCCACCGCCATCGCGTACAATACGACCATACTGATCCCGCTGCTCACCATGATCCTCTTTCACTACCAATTCTCGGCCATTTATCTCATAGCGGTTCATCTTTTCCAAAGCTTTTTCGACATTATCGGGATCTTTGAATTCGACGATTCCACATCCGCGAGCTTTTCCACTTTCATCATGGAATAATTCTACATATTCAACTGACCCCACAATGCGACGGAACAAATCTTTCAGATCTTGCCAACGATAATCGTAGGGGATGTTTGATATGTAAACGCGGCAATTGCGACCTTCACGGCTACGATCACGGTTAGCATTGCCACCAGAGTTGGTACTTCCACCGCCGCCACCGCTGCCAGCACCACCGGCTTCAGCGTCCGAGAATCTTGACGCACGTGCTCCACGACCTCGTCGATCGCGTTCCTTCTCCCGGCTATCGTTAGAATTCTCATTGCCTTCACTCTTCATATCGTACTAAATTTGGTGGCAGAAAGTATTAGTTATTTTAGCGAATAAAGTAGTAGCGAAATAAGTAGTTCCGGTATCGATTTTTAGCAAATATCTAATGGCGGATATAATAAAAGCCACAAGTCACTTACCAATATATCAGAATTCGAGTTATTAGCACTTATGCAGTCTGCTTATTAAAAGGTTCTCACAAAATTATGTATATTTTTCTGTCTACAATTTATATTTTTTTTTGTATAGGAAAAGTTATGGGAACTTTTTCCAAGCGCAACGCCGACAGGTAGAGAAATGCTAATAAAAATGGCGGACTGACGAATGCCAACCGAACTGGTCTAGTGTTGATAATCTACAGAAATTTATCGTGAATGGCTTCAACCCTTATACCATGTTTTGACCGACATCGAAAACATGTTTTCGTTGCTAAAACTGGTTTTCGACTTAAAACGTGTGTTTTCGTTCATGTAAAATCTGTCAAACGAAAACCAGTTTTCATTTTTAATATTTTTATTGAGCTTTGTACCACGATTGTTTATTAGGAAAAATTTAAAAAGCAACAAAGTCTAAGAGGTAGAAGTTATAGCACTATTTCGGAGATCACCACATCTCCTCATCAGACTTTTTTCTAGACTTCAGCAGGGATCGAACCTGCGAATTCGATGTTCAAAGTCAGAAGCGTTAACCACTGAGCTATGTACATCCCGTAAACTCTTGTTGCTAATTCATTTTCCTTATTCAACCAATTACTATCAAGTGCAGCTGATTTGCCGCTATTTAAACTCGACAGTGTGGTTGTTGTTGTCAATTCTATACATCCATTTGCTTATTTGCTTTTTTGTATAGTTTCAGGCAGGCTCTTCCTAAACTATGTATTTGTCAAACCAGTTTTCGCTGAAAACTACATGAAAACTCACGTTCCACTCATTCCAATCGGTATCTTAACTAGCTTTTTTTTCGATTATTTATCGAAGTGGAAGTCATATTTTATCATCTTTAATACGCCATTTCGGATTTATTGTTAATTGGCAGCCAAAAGTAAAATAAGAATGAAAGTAAGAGGTTGGTAATGAAAAGAAAATGAGGGAAAAGCATTTTGGTTTTGTTTTTGTGTAGCAAAACTTTAGTCAGAGGATGTAAGAAATGTCAACGAAAACACTAACAGCCGGTGTGAACAGCCTTCAGCCCACAATCCCAAAACACGTTTTCGAAGTGTTTTCGTTGTCGGTCAGAACATGGTATTACAGAGAACGAAGAGAACAATAATCGATAACCAAATAAACAATAACGATTCGTTCGCCTTCGATTGTTATCATTCGATATTGTTCATACGAATTAAATACACTGATTTTTATTAATTCTTTTTTTAAATTCACCGACTTCTCTATTTTGCACCACAGCTAACAAAAAGTATAATATTCTTTGATGTATGTGTGTATGTACATATGTATGCGAGCGTACAATCGATAGTTTCTTTTCGATATGGTCAGCCGTTTTTTGCAGTGAAATGATAACAAATCAGTGTTGGTACATGTAGGGATAATTCCCTCCCGCAGGGATTTCAGACGAAAAGACGAATGTGTGGGAGAAGAGGAAAAAATTTCATTTATTCGCTCAAAAATTGCTATATCTTTAAATAAAATATTGAACCGCAAATAACGCGATTAAGCAAATCAAACTGCGTACTTGAAAATGTACATTTAAAACAACCATACTCCAATAAATAATAAAAAATTTTAAAATTACCATTTTTACCACGATAAAAAAAATATCACCATTCGCAACTTTTGTTGACTAGCTATTGCCAGATGTGATTTTTATTCACAGCGAAATATCATGCGAGTAGAAAAACCACCGGTAGTGAAATATCGCTCATTACTAGTTGGGTGTAAATTTCACCACAGCTGATTTAATGTTGGTTTTTTGGCAGACTTTTTAACTTCATTACAAAAAGATGGTTTCAGTTTTAAAAATATTAAATGTTGCAAAAAATTTTAAAACTATTATTAATAGCGCCGCCAGCACATCCATTTCAAATGTATTATTAACCAGGTAAATAGTCATCGTAAAGTTGTATTACGCTTTTCATATTTACATAACCTGATTCTACCACCCGCAGAATACTATACAAACAACAAAATGTGAAATCTGCTGTTTTGGGGGCAGTGACGGCGCGGTCATTTCATTCAACAAGCCAATGTCGAGGTTTAATGGAATTCTTCGATGACCCTAAAAACTGGCCAGAAAATGAGGTAAAAGTTGGTCGTGCTTGGAAACTGGAAGAGTTACGTATCAAATCAAATAAAGAATTGCATCAATTGTGGTATATTCTTCTCAAAGAGCGGAACATGCTGCTTACAATGGAGCATGAATGCAATGACAAAATGGAATTATTTCCTAGTCCAGAACGTTTAGATAAGGTAAGAGTTGTTATAGCATAAATCGTGCCGATTTTTCTTTATTTTTAAATAGGTAAAAATATCAATGGAAAATCTAGAATCAGTCGTCCGTGAAAGAAATAAGGCCTACCATCTACTTGAAACAGGCGAAACCGGTGAGCGCCCAAGTCGCGTAGTATCCAATCAACTAGGTATTCGCTACTTATACAGGTCTATTCATTAGAATTTGTTTGAGAAAAATATTTAATATAGAACAAAATTTAGATCCTGTGAACACGTATTGCCCCCCTTATATGAACGTCAAATGGATAAAATCGCGAAATATTGGTTTCGGTGGACGAGCGGTGCGCAAATTCTTGTTATTGTACCGTGAGAAACTCTACAATATAAAACGCAAAGCCAAGAAGTATGTTTTTCAAATTTACTTTTTATTATGTTCAATATTCTAAAAAAAAAAAAATATTTGCATATTAGTCGTTCCCGCAACGAAGTCATGATGATGTTACGACGTAACCCGAACATAGATGTCCATATGTTGCGGCGTAAGTATCCAGATGTGGACATTGATAAGTTGTTGAGAGATGATAAAACTCGTGGACACTGTGTGCCTAAGGTCGATGTCTGAATAAGTTGTAACGAAATAATAAAATGTTTTGTATACATAAGAAAAGTGTATTTTATCTAGTACCAACAGGAGAAATGAGGATTGCGTTCCCATATGAGTCAGGTATATATATGTCCATCATCGCAACGGAACGTCCCAGATTTATATCTGGCCATGGGCTGTCCCTCTAGCTGGATTCTTTCAAACTCTGGGAAGCCCTCACACCGCTACAACTAATCGTCATCATTGAACGTAATTTTTTTACCCTGAAAAGTGGCTATGGCAGGCTTTAGCTTCTGTTTCGCTATCCATGAAGGATGTAGTGTATCTGTTGTATTCAACCTTTTAGCATTTTTCGCTGGTGCAGCAACTTTATAAGGTTCCTGTGTCTTGATTTCTTCGTGGACTTCATCTCCGAAAACTATTTTCTTTCCTTTAAAATCGGTGATTACTGGTTTAAATTTTTGTTTTGCCGCCCAGGAAGGGTGTAAGTCCTTGTCATTTTCCGTGGACTTGGTACTTTTATTTAGTGCGAAGTTATTTTTCGGCCCGACTTCTTCATCCCTTCTTTCTTCAAGGTCACTGTTATCGACATCGTCGAACTTTATCTTCTTGCCCTGAAAACTACCTATCACTGGTTTAAGTTTCTGTTTTGCTACCCAGGAAGGATGTAACCCTTCCGAATTGTTTTTCTTTCCAGTACTTTGGCGGCTTTTATCCTGAACGTCTTTATTATGTATTCTAACATTTGAGCGGTTTTCACGTGTCGTGTAGTTTTCGACTGGCCTCTTGCGTGCATTATCATTAGCTTTATTTGTTTGAGAATCTAAGACTTGACCATTTCGAACAACAACCGCTGTAGATCGATAATTTTCACCACTAGCTGTAATAAAGAATGGATCGACCACGTGAGTAATTTCTTCTTTAAGTGATTCTGGGAACTTCTCGTCTTCTAAATTTGAATCGAAACTTATAAGCATATTTTTTGTTGGTTCAATAACGTTTCTTTCTAAATCC